CCCGCCGATCCGCGACGCATGATCCGGCAGCCCTGCGACTCGCGACTCGAGCCCGATGAATCGCGACCAGCCCCACACGACCCGACCCCAATTGCACACGAGCCCGACATTCTGTTCGTGATCCAATCCAGTTCGTGTGATTGTACGGCCATCCGGATGATCAGCCAGATCGCCAAAAATTTTAAACCGTAAGTTTTGTACTTCAAACCTTTAGTTCCGCTGCGCATATGTTTACGTTTGCTATTAAATTCGTGATTTGTACATAACGAGATCCTCATAGATCCCACAAGTGGTATCAGAGCACTTGGTTTAATTTGTTGTGTACAACTTCAAATTTTTACGAATTTATTTGACAAGATGTGTTCAAACGCAACCATATATTGGATTATATTCACATAACTCGATTTTGCAGGAATTAGTTTAATCCACTATTATGGCGACTATGTGTTTGATGAATGTTGTTGAGTGTGATGTATGGTTTTAAATTTGTTTTTTAAAGCCTCGGACATGTCGAAGAATTTTATGGATGAATATTTGTAATAATTATTCGCCCGGGGTTGACTGGATAGATTTAACTATTTGTTTAGAAAAATATGTACATCCATTCGTTGGATCTAGGATCGGATTATGTAATTTTGTAAATAATATTTTTCGTGTTGTGATCGTGGATTAATTGTCTGGAGATCACAAGAGATCAATGAGCCTCGAAAATCCAACCGGACCGAAGCCTAGAGGAACATGAGCGACACGCGCGGCAATCGAAAGAAATAAAAAATTTTGGCTGGCGTTTTCCCGACCACCGGCGGCGGCGGCCAGCGGCGGCGGGTGGAGAGGTTTCCTTGGCGGACAAGCAGTACAATATCAACCAGGATTCTACTGCAGTGGGAGTTCCAGTTGAATAGGGAAAGAATATACAAGTTTTCCTTGTTTATGGGAACTCAATATTTAATGGCCATAATAATGGATTTATTACTTACTTAGATTCATTATACCATTAATTATCTATTTATTTATGCATGTTAATTAATTATTGTATTTGCATGGGATTAATTTGGAATTGCATATTCATTTATGCATGTTAATTAATTATTGTATTTACATAGGATTAATTTTTTTTTCGGAACAATAGAAATGATATATGAAAGGCACAAATATGCAAGAGTACAACCACCAGCTGAATACACACCCAGCCAACAGCTGAATAAAATTAGGAGGACATGTCATAAGACCACCTAACCCTAACAGGGTAATACACTAACAACACACAAACACAACACAAAAACGACCCCAACAGGGTAAAAACACGATACTAAAACGACCCCAACAGGGTAATGCTCGAGTGTGGGATCCCAACAGGATAATAAGGTCACACTCGAGCGAATCGGGGCCAATGGCCCAATCCTAAAACATATCAACAACAGCAACACACAACTAGCACAACTCAACAACAACGACAATACACCTATAAGAAACAAAACAAACAGAAATTTAAAAAATGGAGCTTTTCCTCGTCGCACGACCTAGCCCAACCAGCAGCGAAGCGATCGATACAACATGGATTCGAGGTCCAGAAGCTGCTACCGAAACCGCAGAAGGCCTATACAGTAGGTTAAACTGAACCCTAATCCCATCCCTGAATCGACCTGTCTTTGACCGAGAGAGTCGCAATCAACCCCCACATCGGTGCCACCCGAGCTAATCTAACACCACTAGACAAGACGGATAGCACCAAACCCCGGCCGCCTAACACCACTAGTCGAACACTACAAGAAATGTCAATTTTAACTAGACATTTACCTAGATCCTTTGTAGGTAAAGTGCTTGCTGGTAAATTTTGTCTGGCTATTTTATAGGTAAACGAATCTAGCTAGAAATTATTGTCTAGTTAAAATTGACATTTCTTTTAGTGGAACCGAGAGGGTGAGCGAAGATCGAGCCTTCAACCCCAACCACCGCAACTTGAG